GTGTGTGGGGGAAGGGGCCAGGCCGGTGGGCAGGCTGGCTGAGACAGGGGATGAGGGTCACTCACTCGCAGGCCTCCGAGAGCGGAGCCTCCTGTTCCCTGAGGCGCTGGAGGATGAGGGGGCTCGCGGGGTGGCGGAGAGGGAGCCGGGGCTCAGGCTTGGGCCCGGGGCGGTGCCGCCACCAGAGGAGGAGCCTCCGGAGCCCTGCAGGAGCCACTGCCACTGCTGCTGCAGCCTGGAGAACCAGACTCCAGTCTGTGTTTTATTGTTTTGTTACATCTGTATTTATACCAGTTGATTTTAATCCTATCAATTTCTATTCCAAAGGTTAGGGCATTTCTTATCTCCATTCCAGGGAGTAAAGATTATGTAGCTTAAGCGTGATTGTTCATAGTTAAAGTGATTAACTACCCGCCTGGCACTTACTTAAGGGGTTTTATCCCCTCCCTAACTTCTGGGGAAAATCCCTACCTGGGGAAACAACCTTTCTCGGAGAGGTGACCTTGGTTAAAACACATAGCGCCAAGAAGGGGAGCAAACATATTAAGAACAGTATGCCATATACACCAGGTCCCTTGAAACATATGCTGTGCAGATGTTTCTTCCCTGTAGCGACTGTGTCAAGCAGCAAGGATGGACCAGCTTCCAGCAGAAAAGTAGCAGATACTTCACTTGGCATGTAGCAAATGTGCTCATAGGATGCTGCTTATGGTTAGGACATTCTTCGCACAGTGTAACTCAAGTCTTTTCTACTAAAGACAAATTGAACTTCTATCATTTGTTTCTCAATAGTAATGCGCCTGGTAGTCTTAATAAGCTAGTCATGATTTGGAGACTTATTTAGATCATTTATGTATTCATATATAGAAATACAAAGGAATAGAGCAAAAAGTCTACTAACATAACAAACACATGGCATATATAAAATATCCTATATAATAAAAGCCTAATATGCTAAGTGTCCAACTGTTTGTTCGACCGTTCGACCAGGCACTATGACACACACTGACCACCAGGGGGCAGACACTCTGACTGGTAGGTTAGCTTGCTGCTGGGGTCCAGTGGATCAGGACTGGGCGACACAGGCTGAACACGCCCTGGAGCCCTCTCACAGTCCCTCCCCAGCTGGCCAACCTCCCGCAGTCCCTCTCCAGCCCCGATCATGCACTGGTGGGGCCCCTCGGCCTGGCCTGTACCCTCTTGCAATCCAGGACTCCTCAGGGGATATCCGCAGGCCAGGCCGAGGGACCCCACCAGTGCATGAATCCGTGCACTAGGCCTCTAGAATAATATTCTATATATATAAAAGCCTAAGCAACCATTATGACTGGAAGACCAGACAACTGGATGACTGGCCAGTACCTATGATGTGCACTGACCAGCAGGGGGCAGATGCTCAAAGCAGGAGGGCTCCTACAACCAACCTCCAACAGCTGGCTAACCTCCTGCAGTCCCACTACCTGGCCAGCCAGCCGCAATCGTCCCCAATCAGGGCTGGCTGGCCAACCTCCCATAGTCCTTCTGGCCGATCACTGGCCAGGCTGAAGGACCCCACCCGTGCACGAATTTATGTACTGGGGCTCTAGTAAAAATAGATGTATATAACAGAAAAAGTGTATATCTGTGCATAATTTAGTTTAAAAAGTATTTTTTTAAAAATGAATGGTAAGGTAGTTAAATTATTAGGATTTTCTGTCTTAATACTACATATAAAATAAATACATTCTAGAATGCTGATCCATTTATGACATTGTAGGTTAATTTTTATGCTGTGAGATGCACAGTGGTTATGGTTAAGAAAATGTGGTTTCACCTCACACCTCCTGTCTCTGTTACTTACTAAATGTGTAATTTTGGGCAAATTATATAGCCTCTCAGTTCCTCAATGTCCTCATCTGTAGAACACAGATAATTATAATACATATCCAATCAGGCTGTCATAATAAATGACAATAATGTGTGTAAAATATGTAGCATGCACCTTAAGTAATCAATACATGATTGATCAATTTCAGAGGTTCTCAACCCTGTATGAATATTATAATCACCTGGGGAGTTTTTAAAATACTGACATCCGGGCTTCATCCGGGCTTCATCCAAACCAATTAAATCAGCATATCTGTAGGTAGGGCTTGGGCCAACAACAATTTTTTTGAAAAGCTCCCTAGGTGATTCTAATGTGTAGCAAGAGTTGAGAACTACCAAGCTATAATAACTTGTACATAAAATATAGAAATCTAATATTTGTATTGAATGATATCTGCATGATATACTAGTAGTGTGTTGCCAATTAAACAAATGGACAAAAGAATTTCAAAATCTGTCTATTAATTTAGTTTTGGGTGGGAAAGTAACTTGGAAGAGTAGATAAATGACCATTAGGAACACAGAAGTGGTCTAGCATCTCTGTAATAGGAAGCCTGCACTCAATTCTCCACCCTTTACAGCTTTGTATTTTCAGTCAAGTTACTCAACCACTCTTTCCTCTTTTGTAAAATTAGGGTAAGGATGGTGCCTACCTCTCAACTGTGTTGTCAGAGCATTGGGAAATTTAATATTTGTAAAGTGCTGAAAACAATGCCTGGTATGTAGTAAGTACTATGTTTGTTTTAAAATATTAATATGGAAATATTCAAAATGAAATGCTAGCTGTTAATATTGAATCGCAGTAACATATTTTTGCGTTAAATTAGAACTGAAAAATAGGCTCTGTACAGAAGTTCTGGGATGACTGTTAAAAAAACAAAAACAAAACAAAAAAAAAGCCAACATCCTTTAGACCTTATATCAAAGATGAAACTGATCCTCAGTTCGAACTACCTATCTCTCATCAAGGAAGATGATGTGTTAATCTTGCCAGGACCGATATAAGATACCACAAATTATGTTAGCTGAAGTATCCGATATTCCTGAAGCACTGAAGCTCAGACCTTATATAAGAATTTTAAAAACATCATCACCATCTATAGTTGCTTTGTTGGGTTCAGGTCCTGGAGGTAGATTTTCAGTGATGGGTCCTCTCCTTGTCTCACCTGGTCTGGCCCTTGTCTACTTCTCTAGCCTTCTTCTAATGGCCTTGCCTCACACCGTCCCCCATCCAGACAACCTTCCCTCCCTTTCCTCCCACCAGTCCTGCTGTTTTCTGCCCCAGCCTTGGCTGCTCTTGCTGATGCTCTTCCTGGAATGCTCTTCTCATTTTGCTCTGCCCATCCCATCCCCAACCTACACATCTTTTACTGGTAGGACTCAGTTCTAGTACTAACCTCTTCTATGAAGCTTTTCCCAGTGCCCCAGGTTTAAGTAACCAGCCCCCCTTTCATACCTCTTTATCCCTTGAAGAGATAAGTGGCCATTCTTAAAACCATGCTTGAGTCTTCGTCTTATTTACTACATATCTATTTATTTAAGAATCAGCACCTGGCACAGAGCCTAGAATCATAGTTTAATTTCATTGACTCAGAAAATGGAAGGGAGGGAGGGGAGGGAAGGAAGGAGGAAGGGAGGGAGGGAAGAAAGAAGAAATGGCATCCATTTGTAAGGTTTTTTACAGAGAGGAGGGTTGCCATCAGTGGGCAAGAACACATCAGTGGGTATCTATGGCCCCTGGGTTCCAGTAAGATCAACAGAAAAACCATCCTAGCACAAAACCCATCAGCTTCTCATGGATGTAGGATACTGTCCTGCCTCTGCACAGAGAAACTCTGTCCAGAGTTTGGTGACACTCAGTGGTCTGAGGCAGTGGAAGAAGAATCCCTCAAAGCTACACCAGAGAGTTTATTTTCAAACACTGCAATTTCTCTAGCTTTCCAGGTTTCTAAATGTATTCCCATCTTTGAAAGAGTCTCTAAGGTCCCACCACTTCTTGGAAATCTTTTCAGTTGAGTGGAGCCAAAGTCATAAGACTCACAATAATTTGAGCACAAGTTTGCTCGCCTATGATATGAGGACAGTAACAGTTCTTATCCTGGAGTTGTAGAGTAGAGTAAATGTTTGGAATAGCTCCTCACATGAAGAGTACTACATCCATGTCAATATTTGATATTATAAATTGTTAATATTATGTGTTAGTTAATGTCATAGACAAGAACTACTGAATTTCCTTCCTTCATTCCATCTTTCCTTAAATGGAAAAAAATGTAGGTGCCTCTGAGCTTATCAATGATTCTCTCTCATCATTGATGTTTCTCTCTCTCTCTCCCTCTCCCTTCCTCTCTGAAATCAATAAAAACATTAAAAAATAAATAGATAAAAATGTAGTTGCCTCTGTTTTCATTAGCATAGCAATGCTTATTTTAGAAGTTAAGAGATTAAATGTATTGGCCACATTTAAGCTATAGATTCACCTTCTGTATAAATGACAAAGTCTACACTCAAATTACTAAACAGCATTTCCCATCTATTAATCCTGTGGTATTTGGTTTGGTTTTGCTTTTGCTATCCAGCCCCCAGGACAACGGCTCTGTTCTGCATGGCTTTCTAGCTTACTTTTTACTTTAAGCTGCATCTGTGTTACCAATGCTGAAACTTGACAAGATGGCAGAGAAGTGGTGGGACAGCCTTGCCTATGGTTCATTAAAAGTCAAACAGGGCAATAAATGTCGGATGCACCAGAATACATTTTTCCCCCTAAACTGGAATAAGCTGAACACAAGTGTAAACCTTATTATCGATCTCATTTTCATGTCCTTTGAACTCTTAAGAAGGTCTCTTCCAACTAAGGGGACCAACCATCAAAGAAGCGTCTATGTGTAGTAGGGGATTCAGTTAAAAAAGTGCCTATAGAAATTCCATATCCATTGTTCTCTTTCCCATTTTCTTATTAAGAGGGCCCATGACTAGCTATTACAAAATACATGAAAACATTATTTTTGTAACATTTGGAAATTTTAGACCTTTCCTTTTTCTCTTTGAACTCACATTTCCATTAGTCTCTCCCTGGATTTTATACATATACAGGGTGTCCCCCCAAAAGGGACATAATAATAAGAGAGTCGATCCGCAATCTTCCCAATACATGCAGAAAAAGCAGTGATAACTTTATTGATTACATGATAATATTTTGTATATGTTGTGTTAAAATACTGTGGCTACTAGAAAACTTCACATTCTATATCTATCTCACATTGGTGGCTCACATTATACTTCTACTGGACTGGGGTGGTCTCCATGTATCTTAGTTTGAAGGCAAGTGCTTTAACAGCAGCAGGGGTCTCTCA